TTTTTTTTTTAAATTTTTTTAATGTATATTTATTTTTGTTAGAGACAGAGCACAAGTGGGGGAGGGGCAGAGAGAGGGAGACACAGGATCCAAAGCAGGCTCCAGGCTCTGGGCTGTCAGCACAGAGCCTGACACGGGGCTCGAACTCGCAAACCATGAGATCATGACCTGAGCCGAAGTCGGACGCTTAACCGACTGAGCCACCCAGGCGCCCCAAAAGTAGTCTTTAATTATATATTTTTTATTTCTGTTTAAGTGTTTGCCTTGGTATAAGGCACACAAAAGAAGCATGTGGTGAACCCTCTGTTTTCAAGATTCACACAGCCTAGATGATGAAGGCCTAAAACCAAGAGCAAGGTAGTGACAGAGTAGGAGACGTGGGCAGTGATGATTACAGGGACCAGGAGAGGAGAGGAGCTCAGAGGCCTCTTGAGATAGATGAGCATGAAGGATGAGAAGGATTTCCACAGATAAGGAAAGAAGTTTTCCAGCACTTGAGCAAAAACTGAACCTGGGCTTACATAAAGCCTCCTTTCCGTGTGCATTCGAAAGTGTCAAGAACTCAGGGAATCTCAAGGACAAAACACGTCATTGAGAAACTTTTAAAATGCACATATATTTGTAAAATAAACTTTGTTGTCTCTAAAGAAGGAGTTATGTATGGGATAAAGTGCACACAGTGGCAGGCCCTGCTAACTTACAGTCCTGGGAGACGTGTTGAAAGAGAACTGTCAGTGCTTATTCACTCATTCAGCACATATTTGAGCGCTTATTATGGAGCAAGTCCTGTTCTAGGTGATGGGATAAATGTGTCACCGTAGTTGCCAAAGCCAAAGTGGTGTCTCAAGGGAATAAAGAGAGTAAGAATCTTGGGCTGTGGCTTTTACAGAAAATAAGTGAATCATTCATTACTCTTCTGTTGTCCCTCCAGTGTGTTGCCCTTCCCATAACAGTCCCAGTGACTCAGTGGCGACACAGGAAAGGCATTTTTGAGACAGTCCGAGTGGTTGCGCTCCACCTGGTCTGACCCGCAGAGTGTGGCACCAGCGGCGGCTCCTCTCTTCAGCCTTCCTGGGCCTCCTGTCCCCAGGGCGGAACCCACTGCTTGCTCCTCTGTGTGCAGAGTGCCTGGCCCCGCTCTGAGAGCACACTCGCTGCACTTGTAGCATCAGCTTGATTTGCATGTGCTTTTCCTGACCAGGAGAAATCTCTTGAGAGCAGGACCCATTTCCTATCCACCTGAGGATCCCCGGGACCCATATTTGGTATCGTTCCTGGCATATATCATACAGGGCATGTTTAGTAAACATTTGATAGAAATGTTAGAAAATGTTCTTTTTTTTTTTTTTCTGGTTCTCACTTTTCTTATGTCAAAAATGAAAAAGTTGGACCAGTTTATAAAAGTACTTTCCTATTCTAAAATTCTGTAATAGCCTCTAAAACTCCGCTTAAAGGGAGCATCACATTAAGTAAAATGCGTAGGAAGGTTGTAGATATAGCAGTGCCTTTCTCTGACATCCAGGAAAGTAGCTAATTAAAACCAGCTAATTAACTCTCATGAATATTGTCTTCTCACCTCTGAACCCAGAAGGTCCAGGCTTTCCAACGCCAGATTTCTGATAGCATTAATCACACTGTATTTTCAGTATTGGTCTTCCTGGAGCATTGGACTCAGTAACTTATGAGGTATTTATTAAGAAATAAGTTAATGACTCTATCTACATGCGACTGGAAGTACTAGTCACAAATGCCAGAGTCAGTCTCTGGTGGTTAGTGAGATTAAGTAGTAAGTCAGGTGTTGTTAACATCTTAGTGTGAGGCTGTTGATCACAAAGGAAACTGGTTAAGGAGGTAACAGCAAATTTGTTGTCACCAGCAGTAGAAAAAGATTTGGACTGGCTGATATCCCCTTCACAAATACGTCATAAATTTAATAGTAGTGATGGTGAGTGTTGACGTGCTCTTTGCAAGAGATCACGTGGATGGTAGACAACATCACAGCCCTGTAGTACAGCTTAGCATGTGTCACCAAGTCCCTGTGCCTGGCTGACATTGTAACTTCCTAAAAGGATGGGTAATAGGCTAAGTACCAGTCAGTGGAAGATGGAGGTGACTATATGGTCTACAATCTGTTCACGGTAGAAAAACTAGGAATTAAAAAAAAAAAAAAATTAGGGGGACCAGGGTGGCCCAGTCAGTTAGCATCTGATTCTTGATTTTGGCTCAGGTCATGATGTCACAGTTCATGGGATTGAGCCCTGTGTCGGGATCAGGAACTGGGTGCGGAGCCTGCTTAAGATTCTCTCTCTCTCCCTTTGTCTCTGCCACTCCCTCTCTCTCTGTCTCTCTTTTTCTCTCTCTCTCTCAAAAAAAGAAAGAAAAACTAGGAATTCAGGTCCAAAGAGCTGCCTACAAACACTGAGTCTGTTAGAATATTTACAACATCGGAAATCAGGTGAATGAAGTGACAGGAAAGGTAGTAACACTGCCTAATACTCATACAGTGCTCACCACACACCAGACACTTCGAAGCATTAACAAGACAAGCCAGATACTAGCGAATTTCATGGATTCTAAGGCACGCATTTCTTACATCTTATCTCTTAAAATCAGAAGCACAAAATCGACAAATCTGAGATCAAGGCTTGATGAAGATTCATACTCAGTCTCTCAAATCTATCTTATCATGATAGATCCTCGCAAAACCAGGTATACTCTGCTGACCTGTCATCCCAATAATCCCTTTAATTTTCTCGTTTTTCTCTTAGTCTGAACTATTTGTGTTCCTGTAGTTCCAACGTCTTTTAATAATTTCAGAGGGGAGGCACCGGTAAGTTAGCAAGAAAGTGTTGATTTTATAAGAAAACCACTTTCTCCAACACAGTAATAATAATGATTAACAACAGCTAACGTTTACTGAATATTTACTACGTGCTGGGCACAACTCTAAGTACTTTGCGTTTCATCCTCATAGCAACCTTATAAGGAAGGTATTATTGTTAGCCCCATGTTAACGCATGGGAAACTGAGGCAAAGAAGTACTTTGCTCACAGTCGCCTAAGAAGGACAGAGAGCCATGATACCTTTGGAACTGGTGACAGCATATAACTTCTCTGTGAATACAAAAGCTGTACTCCAGAGCAGACTTGCAGAGATTTCTGGCATGTGTGGGGTTTTTTAAAACATTTGGTAGGACCATTGATATGAGGTAATAGGAATGGCACTCTCTCCCTCTGTGGTCTTCCTCCCTAAATCCCATGACCCCAATTTAATCATGAGAAAAACATCAGACAAATACCAGTTGAGAGATTTTCTACAAATTAGCTGACCAGCACGTCTCAAAACTGTCAAGGTCATCAAAACCAAGGCAAGTCTGAGAACTGTCAGAGTCACATGGAATCTAAGGCAGTATGACAGCTAAATGTCATGTGGTGTCCTGGATGGGATCTTAGGACAGGAGGGAAAAACTGAAAACATCTGAATAAAATTTGGACTTCAGCTAATAATGATGTATCAAGATTGGTCCCTTCACTATGATAAATGTACCATGCTGACGTAAGGTGTTAACAGTAGGGGAAACAGGGTGTGGAGAATACGGGAACTTTCTGCACTGTCTTCACTACTTTTTGCAAATCTAAAACCATCCTTATGTTGAAAGCTTATTTTCAAAAACACTTGGAGGAAGTAGCCTTTGACACTTTGCTTTTGTGCCTCCACTACCATATTGCTACTCTCTTCAGTGTATTTTCCCTTCGACAGTGAAGTGTGTAATTCAAGTGGTTGGTGGTAGAATAAGGAAGAGGTGCAGCACACGCCCTACCGTGCCATGATTGAGTTAATTGTTGTTATGTAGACACACACACATAAAGGCTAATGGCAGATGGTGTTAGTTATTTTGTTAGCTTAACCTGTGGGGGTGATATTAATATTTCTTTCTCATTTTCTTTTATCCAGGGAGCAGATCTTAAGAGTAAAAGAAGATGAGAATGTTCCATTTCTGCTGGTTGGTAACAAATCAGATTTAGAAGATAAAAGGCAGGTTTCTGTAGAAGAGGCGAAAACCAGAGCCGACCAGTGGAATGTCAACTATGTGGAAACATCTGCTAAAACTCGAGCTAATGTTGACAAGGTAAAGGGTGGCTGTCCTTACTGCTACATCACGTTAATAAGCTGATTTGCTTTAACTCAGCTGCATTTTGTCCAGAGATTTGTGAAACTTTCAAATGGTGATTTAGTATGTGCTGATTATTATCTGCCCTAAATGCTCAAGTGCAACATGTTAGGCATTTCTCACTTCACCTTGTCCTCAGGCTCCCAAGAGACATTAAAACATGAGACACCACAGCTAAGTGGTTTTTTTCTAGCACTAATAGGATTTCTGACCCGAATCGCTGCCTTTTCTTAATTTTTCTTTTTTCTTACCCTGAGCGGCTGGATAATTTAGAAGTGTCCTCTGAGCTGACACCTGCCCAGCCCTATTTAAGTTCTCGAAAGTAAAGGTACCTCCGAAGACAAAGGATCCCCAGATAAGAGGGCTTTGAAATCTGTTACTACACCTAGGCCCCTACCGTCACCTCTGTTTCCCCCTGAGCCCTCTTCTTTGTCCACATTGGCCCTTCGCTGAGTCCAGGCCAGGAACACCCTTGCCTTGTTCCTGGGAACCTGCCCACATACGTTATTTCATCCTGCTGCCGAGACCTGCGTCTTCAGTGTTTAGGAAGACTGAGGCACCGCCCCCTTGAGCCCTCCACACACGGCCTCTTTTAGCCTCCAAGCATCTAAGCTCTACTGAGTGCTTCTCAAACTCTAACTGGCAGAAGTGTCTATGAAACTTAATACACATGGATTCCTGGGTCTTACCCCCAGAGATTTTGCTTCATTTGCTGTGGGGTGGGACCTGAGAATTTGCATTTCTAGGAAGCTCCAGGTGGTACAGACTGTGGCCTGGTGGACCACACTTTGAGTAACACTGCTCTGGGTGGCTTTAAGTTTTAGCGAATTGGTCTGCTTGTGCCTGTAGACTCGTAATACCAATACAGAAATCATTAGTTAAAAAAAATTAGTATTTCTTTTCATTTGCTGTGGGTTTTTTTTTTTTAAGTTTATTTATTTAGTTTGAGAGAGTATGCATGGGCAAGTAGAGGAGAGAGACAGACAGACAGACAGACAGTCCCAAGCAGGGTCCGCAGTGTCGGCACAGAGCCCAACATGGGGCTCAAACTCACAAACCATGAGATCATGACACGAGCCAAAACCAAGAGTTGGACACTCGACCAACTGAGCCACCCAGGCACCCCCAATTACTGTAGGTCTTTAGGTAATGTCACGATACTGTCTTAAGCTGATTAGATTTCTTGTCCCATGGTGAGATTCCTGTAGTTCCAAGAGATCTGTACAAAATGAGTGTTATAAGATTTCTACATAGTCTATACCAGTTTTCTCCAAAGTTATGGCAAATGTATTTAAAGTACTAATAAAAATAGGTTTTAAAGTTCAGTGTGTTTGGGGTTTTGAAAGGCAGCATTGAATATGTGTGTGTGTGTGTGTGTGTGTTTCGTTTCTTCCAAACTGATGAGCAATTGTAGGACACACTCTAAAACCTATTCAAACTAAGGACAGTGGGTCCAAGAGGTGAGCAGTAACCACAAAAGCTATGGAGCAGTCATTATAACAATCTCTGTGCTGTCATCTGCTGGCGTGAATTTTTTGCCATATGCGTGTATTTTCAAAAGAGGAAAGTTGAAAGTATAGGGCTATTTTAGTTACTCTGGCTGTGTAACAAAATATACCCCCAAAACTTATGGGTGAAAGTAACCATTTATTATGCTCATGGAATCTCTGGGCCAAAGTTTTGGACAGATCACAGTGGAGTTGGCTTGTCTCTGTTCCACAGTGTCTCATGCCTCAGCTGAAAAGCTTGAAGTCTGGGAACTGGAAGCATCTTCAATTAGGTTCTGTTCTTTTCTTTCTTTTTTTTTTTTTTTCAATGTTTTTTTTTAATGTTTGTTTATTTTTGAGAGAGAGAGAGAGAGAGAGACAGTGTGAACAGGGGAGGGGCAGAGAGAGTGAGACACAGAATCCGAAGCAGCCTCCAGGCTCCAAGCTGTCAGCACAGAGCCCGATACGGAGCTCGAACCCACGAACCATGAGATCATGACCTGAGCCAAAGTCAGAAGCTTAACTGACTGAGGCATCCAGGCCCTCTGATTAAGTTCTAAAGACTGTCCACACATGCCTGATCCAGGCAGTTGACACTGGCTGTTGTCCAGGGATGGCTTGGTTCCTCGCCATGTAACCTTTTCTGTTGTGTCCTACTTTAGGCTTTCTTAGAGCAAGAGCCAGTGTCACAAGAGAATAAGAACCAGGCAGAAACCATGTCACCTTTTATGACCTAGGCAGGGAAGTTACTCAGCATTATTTCCACTTCATTCTGTTGGCTGGAGTAGTCGCAGGTCCTACCCAGGTTTGGGAGGAAGGGGAATGGACTCCACGTGCTGATGGAGAATGGTAAGATGCTGGAAGAGTGCGTAGGGAGTATTGCTGTGGCCGGTTTTGCAAAGTATCGTCTGTACTCAAGGGTCACTTCTCCAAAGCAAAATTACATTAAATGTGGACGCTTATAAACCAAGGTACGGGGGCAAAGCAGGGTGGGGGTGGGCGCCTGGGTGATTCAGTCGGTTGAGCGTCCAACTCTTGATTTTGGCTCAGGTAATGATCGCGCAGTTCGTGGGATCGAGCCCCACGTTGGGATCCACATTAAGTGTAGAGCCTGCTTAAGATTCTGTTTTCCTTTGCCTGCCCCCC